AGGGTCTCTGGTTGTATTCTTAAGTCCTTGATCCATTTTGAGTTGAGTTTTGTGTATGGTGAGAGATAGGGGTTTAATCTCATTTTGTTGCATATGGGTTTCTAGTTTTCCCAGTACCATTTGTTGAAGAGGCTATCTTTCCCCAATGCATGTTCTTGGCACCTTTGTCTAATATAAGAGAACTGTAGTTTTGTGGGTTAGTCTCTGTATCCTCTATTTTCTACCACTGGTCTACTGGTCTGTTTTGATGCCAATACCATGCTGTTTTTGTTACTATTGCTCTGCTGTATAGTTTAAAGTCTGGTCTAGTGATGCCACCTGCTTCACTCTTCCTACTAAGGATTGCTTTAGCTATTCTGGGTCTCTTATTTTTCCAGATGAATTTCACGATTACTTTTTCTATTTCTATGAGGAATGTCATTGGGATTTTGATTGGAATTGCATTAAATCTCTATAGTGCTTTTGGAAGTATGGTCATTTTGATAATATTAATTCTGCCTATCCAAGAGCAAGATAGATCTTTCCATCTTCTAAGATCTTCTTTGATTTCTTTCTTAGGGTTCTGTAATTTTCATTATATAGATCTTTCACCTCTTTCATTAAGTTGATTCCCAAGCATTTTATTTATTTATTTTTGAGGCTATTGAGAATGGGGTAGTTTTCCTCATTTCCCTTTCTGAAGATTTGTCACTAATATACAGAAATTCCTTTGATTTATGAGTGTTGATTTTATATCCTGCTACTTTGCTGAACTCATTTACTAGTTCTGGGAGTTTTTCTGGTGGAACTTTTAGGGTCTTCCGGGTATGAATCATATCATCTGCAAATAGTGCCAATTTGAGTTCTTCTTTTCCTAAGTATATCCCTTTAATTTCTTTCATCTAATTTCTCTGGCCAGTGTTTCAAGAACTATGTTAAATAGAAGTGGTGAAAGAGGGCATCCCTATCTTGTTCCAGTTTTTAGAGGGAATGCTTTCAATTTTTCTCCATTTAGAATGATGTTGGCCTGGGGCTTAGCATAGATAGCCTTTATGATGTTGAGATATATGCCTTTTATCCCAAGATTTTCTAGTGTTTTGAACATAAAGGGGTACTGTATTTTGTCAAATGCTTTTTCCGCATCTATTGAGATGATCATATGATTCTTATCTTTAAGTCTACTGATGTGATGAATTACATTTATTGATTTCCATATGTTGAACCAACCTTGTATCCCTGGAATGAATCCCACTTGTTCATGGTGCACTATCTTTTTGATATGTGTTTGCATTCGATTTGCCAGAATTTTATTGAGAATTTTTGCATTTATGTTCATTAGAGATATTGGTCTGAAGTTTCCTCCCTCCCTCCCTCCCTCCCTCCCTCCCTCCCTCCCTTCCTTCCTTCCTTCCTTCCTATTCATGTGTCTTTGCCTGGTTTTGGAATCAGGGTGATATTGGCCTCATAGAATGAGTTTGGAAGTATTCCCTCTTTTTTCTATTTCCTGGGATAAATTGAAGAGTATTTGTATTAGTTCTTCTTTAAAGGTCTTGTAGAACTCAGCTGTATATCCATCCGGTCCTGGGCTTTTCTTGGTTGGCAGACTTCTGATGGTATCTTCTTTTTCGTTGCTTGAAATTGATAGGTTTAAATTCTGTACATTATCCTGATTCAATTTGGGCAAATTATATGCCTCTAGAAATTTGTCAATGCTTTCAATATTTTCTATTTTATTGGAGTTTTCAAAATAATTTCTAATTATCTTCTGTATTTCTGTAGTGTCTGTTGTGATATTTCCTTTACATCACGTATGTTAGTGATTTGAGTTTTCTCTCTCCTTCTCTTCGTTAGCATGGCTAAGGGTCTGTCAATTTTATTTATTTTTTCAAAGAACCAGCAGTTCTGTCAATTTTTTCAATTGTTTCTTTTGTTTCAATTTCATTAATTTAAGCTCTGATTTTAATTATTTCCTGTCTTCTGATACTTTTGGTGTTGATTTGTTCTTCATTCTCTAGGGCTTTAAGAGGTAGTGTTAAGTCATTTATTTGTTGACTTTTTCTTCTTTTAAGGAATGAACTCCATGCAATGAACACTGCTTTCATAGTGTCCCAGAGATTTCGATATATCTGTGTTCTAAAAACTAAAAGTTCTAAAAACTTTTTAAATCTAAAGTTCTGAAAACATTTTAATCTCCTCCTTGATGTCTTCTGTAACCTGTTGGTCATTCAGTAGCATATTATTTAGTCTCCAGGTGTTGAAGTGGATTTTATTTCTTATTTTTTCATTGATTCCTAATTTCATTCCATTATGATCTGATAGAATGCAGGGTAGTATCTCTACTTTTTTATATTTGCTTAGAATTGCTTTGTGGCATAGTATATGGTATATTTTAGAGAAGGATCCATGTGCTTCTGAGAAGAAAATATATTCTCTTGTTGAAGGTTGGAATATTCTATATATGTCAGTTAAGTCTAAGTTACTGACTATATTATTGCATTCTATAGTTTCTTTGTTCAGCTTTTGTTTGGAAGATCTATCTAGTGGTAGAAAAGGTGTGTTAAAGTCACCCAAAATTACTGTGTTGTGATCTATTTGAATCTTGAACTTGAGAAGAGTTTGTTTGACGCTCCGTTGTTTGGGGCATATATATTTATAATTGTTAAGTCTTGTTCGTGTATGGTTCCTTTGAGCAGTATATAGTGTCCTTCTTTATCCTTTTTGATTGACTTTAGGTTGAAGTCTACTTTATTTGATATGAGGATGGAAACCCCTGCTTACTTCTGCAGTCCATGTGAGTGGTATGATTTTTCCTAACCCTTCACCTTCAATGTGTGAATGTCTTTTTCTATGAGATGTGTCTCTTGGAGGCAGCATATTGTTGGGTCCTTTTTTTTTTTTTTTTTTGATAAAATCTGCTAGTCTATGTTTTTTGATTGGTAGTTTCTTCTATGATTAGATTTTCCTTTAGTGTAATCCCTCCCTCTGCTGATTTTCATCATTGTCTTTTATTTTTCTTGTGGAATATTTTGCTGAGGATGTTCTGTAATGCAGGCTTTCTAGTTGTAAATACTTTTAACTTTTCTTTATCATGGAAGATTTTTATTTCATCATCAAATCTAAAGCTAAATTTGCTGGATACAAGATTCTTGGCTGGCATCCATTTTCTTTCAGAGCTTGGTATATGTTGTTCCATGACCTTCTGGCTTTGAGGGTCTGGATTGAAAAATCTGCTGAGATATGAATTGGTCTCCCCTGGTATGTGATCTGATTCCTCTCTCTTGTGGCTTTTAAGATTCTATCCTTATTCTGTATGCTAGGCATTTTCATTATAATGTGCCTTGGTGTAGATCTCTTGTAATTTTGTACATTTGGTGTCCTGTAAGCCTCTTGTATTTGGTTTTCCAATTCATTCTTCATGCTTGGGAAATTTTCTGCTATTATCTCATTGAAGAGATTGTGCATTCCTTTGGTTTGAAACTCTGTGCCTTCCTCTATCCCAACAACTCTTAGTTTTGGTCTTTTGATGCTGTCCCATAATTCTTGGATGTTCTGTTCATGGTTTCTAACTTTCTTCACTGTGTGATCAACTTTATTTTCCAGATTGTATACTTTGTCTTCATTATCTGACGTTCTCTTTCTTCCAAGTGATCTAGTCTGTTGGTTATGCCTTCTATTGAGTTTTTTATTTGATTTATTGTATCCTTCATTTCAAGAATTTCTGACTGGCTTTTTTTCAGAGTCTCTCTTTCTCTCTTGAAGTAATCTTTTGCTACCTGTATTTGTTCTCTTATCTCATTGTCGGAGTGATCAATTTTTGCTTGTATTTGCTTATTTAGGTCATTCTTTAATTCACATATCATTTTAATTATGAACCTTCTGAACTCCTTCTCTGACATTTCATCAACTTCTCTGTCCATAGGTTCTGTTATTATAGTGTACTGGTTTGTTTGGGGCACTTTCCTCCCTTGTTTTTTCATGTTGTTTATGTATCTTCCTTTCTTGAAGTGTGGATCTGAGATATTACAGTTTCTTCCCTATATTCTTGTAGAACATGTTCAAATTGTCTGTACCTCACCTTGATGTTGGGCTTTCCAGACCCTGCTGGTGTCCCTCAATGGATGCTACTGCATCTTGGAACTGGGACCTGTGTAAGTTGGAGTGGGTGGATCTGGGCCACTGGGCTTGACCTCCCATGATAGTCTGCTGGTAGGAAGGGGTGGTCCTGTACAAAAGGCTAGGCTCTGGAAGTGTCTGACCTGCTGGGGGAGGGGTGAACTGAGCCTACTGAAATCCTGGATCCTGTACAGGCTATGTGAGCCCTCTGGTTGGATATTGGCTCTCGCAGCAGTGCACTGGTCAGAAGGGGCAGTCCTGCACCAGAGGCTAGGCTCTGGCGTGTGTCTGCCTTGTTGGGAAAGGAGTGGACCCGCTGTGTGCCTGGGCCCTACAGAACTTGGTTTGGGTGGATCTTGAACTACTAATTCTTAATCCATAAAGTTAGCTGTGGGTATTAAATGATATAGTATATATATAAAGACCCAAACTTATTGTAGGAACTCAAAAAGTCTCCTTTCTTCCTCTCTCTATTTAGAACATAGACTCTACAGAACTCCATTTAAGATTTGTTCCTTTATATTTATATTACATTTTATAGTTCTATTAATAAACACATTTTAACTTCTTAACAACCCAATAAGGTAGAGTTCTATTTTACAGGTAAGTTCTATTTTATAGGTAAGGTAAGTTCTATTTTATAGGTAAGAATGAAAAGGATCTTATTAACTTATTATTGACAGCTGAAACCAAAAACCAGGAATCCTATTTTATTGTAGCCTTAATACACTTCTCTGAGAATAATGGGTACCTCATAAGTACTAAAATAGTCTTCTACTGAACCAGGTTCTGAGAAGGCATCTTCAGGGCATAAACAGAAGGCAGATGCCAGAGCCTCAGTAATTGAAAGGAGGTAAGTATTTGAACTGTAGCTCCTTGGAACTGGTGATAGCTGAAGGACGGCCTACCTTGTGGAAAATCCTGATGGGAGCCATCTCTGCTCCATTTAGCGTCTTCAAAAGGAACATGGGCCAAGAGGAGGCATTCAGCCGAAATCCTACAGCAAACACAACAAAGAGGAGATTAAGAAATTCCAGCTACTCCTCCCATAACACATGCTGTGACAGTCATAGAATCATAGGCTATTAGGAATAGACTTAAAAGTTAAAATAAAAGAAATGCCTCATTAGACAAGATGAGGAAAAGGAGGCACATTGGAGGAAATGTAACTTGTCCCGGGTAATGCTACAAAGTAAATAGTAAGACGGGTTTCCACTAGGGGCTGGGATTGTGGCTTAGCGGTGGAGCGCTCACCTAGCACATGCGAGACTCTGGATTCGATCCTCAGCACCACATAAAAATAAATAAAATATAGGTATTGTGTCCAACTACAAGTAAAAATTATTTTTTAAAAAATCACACACTATATATCATAATGCCTGCAAGACTTTCCTTGAAAAATCCAAAAAAGTTGTAAGAAAAGGATTAACAAATACTTAGAAATAATCTGGAAAGTAGAGTATAAAAGAGGATCTAATAGTCTTAAGAGGTAAATAAACATGCCAACTAATAAGATCAACATATAAGCAAATCACTTTGTCTCAATATAAATTAATTCAATATTTTTCTATCTCTTTCTTATGCATACACATGTAAAAACACAAACCAAGTATAAATTACTTTTTTATATTCCTTGTTTATTTTAACATCTAAGAATCATGGAATGATGAGGCCAGAGGGGATCATCTTACCCTCAAACTTTTATTTTCTGAAAGTAATAAGGGGCCTAGAGGGGTTAATTGTCCATTGTTATCCATCAAGTAAATGTGAATAATTTAATTAATGAATTATAAACCTGAGACCATTATTGTTATCATATTGTTTAATACGAGCCCCAAATGCTTCTTATAATTTGCCTTCAATTCTTCATCCTGAGACCAAAATAAAATGCTTCTCAACAGTTTCTAGCCCACCTCAGTCTTCTCAATCCATTCAAAATCTATTCAGCATCAAAGCTGCAGACTTGGAAATAACAACAATATTTTTGTTCTTAAGTATTTACTGTGTGCTGTTACTTTACACCGAATCTAATTTAGCCCTTAAGACAGCCCTAGGAGACCAGTATTATTATCTATATATTACAGAGGAGGAACGAAGCACAATGTTAACTAAGTTGCTTACAATTTCAAAGTGTGCAAATGACATAAACAGGATCGAATCCTAAGTAATCTTGAGTCCTAAGAAGCCTATGCTTTTACCCACAACACTAATCTTACACATATTAATGCAGGTAAAATGAAGAATCGGCATTTGGGATTAACTATTAATAACTACAAGTTAACATCAGGAGGAGGAAATGAGAAGAGGAAATGGGAATAAAAGCCCCATACAACTTAATATTTTCCATTCTAGATGGAAGTGTTGCTTTCTAGGAGTGATTTTGGTTGTGCTAGATTGCCAATGCTTTTTCTCTGTTTTTTTTTTTTTTTTTAATGTATATCCTATCTGCATAAAATTTTCGTTCTGGTTCAGGTCTGGTATTATCTCTGCTGGCTTTAGATCTTTATATCCCCACTAAAATATAATTCAAATTTTTGGTATTCTTAACTCCTAGTTAAATTTAGGCATGCTTATGAATGGTTTGTTTTCCTTTTTCATCTGTATGTTTCTATAGAATTTTTGGAAAGATTTTGATTTAGATGGCCACTATATTATCCTTGGGAGCTCATATTTTTTTAATTGCATCACAATGCATTTTTAAATAATGATTCATAAAATAGCATGAGAATAATATACTTTTACAATGCAGTTGTAAAAAGGAATGAGAAATATCTCCACACTATTCTGAAGCCATCTTTAGATCATATCAATAAATGAAAAAAGCAAGGTTGAGAAAAGTAGGTAAAGTATGCAATCATTTGTGTCAGTATTTATAGGCAAGTATGTGTGTATATACACATATAAATATATATTGATATGTATACATTGTGTATTTATACACATATAAATTTCAAAATATGTTTTTGAAATTTGCCTCTTTCAAATCTGTTTGCCTCTTTCAAAATGGAAGGATAAATAATAAAATTGAGCAGTTACATATGGAAGAAAGAAAGAAAAGGGTGAAGGGGATTTATTCTCTTGTTTTATAAAGTTTGCTTTTAAAATGAATATATTTAATGTATTTATAAAGTGAAATTAATTTTTAAAATGCAATTCCTCAAAAAATAAATAAATAAAACAAATGAATCTTAATTATTAAGTTGGTGGCAGAACCATCCAGAAAAAAAGGTAATCCATAAGATCTTATGTTATTTGCTATATTTCCTTTGAAGGTAAGAAAAAATTGCAAATAACTCAAACACTACCAATAATCATAATGGTGATAGTGTTGATAACTAGCCTGAAACTGTTATATGTGTATTGTGGAATGAAGCAAATGAGTTAATTTGTTCATGTGGAGAATGAGGGTTTTGTTGTGGTATAAAGGAGATACAGATTCAAGACGGTAGAGATGAAATAGGCATAAATACCACTGTTCTGAATTTTAGTGGGAAGTATTAATATGAAATCACAATGCTCTGCCCCTCTTTAACAAAAAAAACGAAGAAAGAGTGACCACCCTAGTAGTACTGTGTGCTATAGTGCTCAGATTATGATCACTAAATCCCACTTATCACTGAAAAAAATTTAGATACCTAGAAAAATATCTCCTTCTATCCCAGGGTGGAAAATGTACAAGATGAATGTGGAACATTTTGAAATTTCAAAAGTTCACAATAGCTACAAATATTACTAATATATGTAAGAATAAGGAGACAATCTGATGAGGCTTCTACTGTCCCAAAATGGGACAATTCAAGTATCAATATGGACTTTTAGTATGATGAATCAAAATATCACAATTTTATGATAAACAACAACAACTACATTTATTAAATACTTTTGGAGTGTGCTAGTAAATCAATTGATAATTTTAAAAATAGATATAGAAAATAATCCTGTATGAATTGTATCATTGCAAGATAACCAAAGAATTGATAAAAAAATATTTTATTTTCCTAATTTATGTCAATTTTGTTAGCTCCCTTTATAAGAACAAATATAACATGCTTTGGAATCGGCCCTCCCAAGCCCTGTAATCCATGTATAACCTTGATTTATATATTTGTAAAACTTGGCACCCATTCTCCTTTGTAAGTCTTAATGAGCTACAGGAACTGCAGGCAGTGAGAAAGTCCAGATGAAAGTGTATTTACTTTTTAAAACATTTATTTAGTTGTAGGTAGACACAACACCTTTATCTTTTATTTTTATGTGGTGCTGAGGATCAAACCCAGTGCCTCACACATGATAAGCAAGCACTCCACCTCTGAGCCACAACCCTAGCCCACGGATGAAAGTTTATTTTAATAGATATATTTCATTTTATTTTTGTAGAATATGGCAGGATTAAAGTTTTCCACTTTGCAACCATAATGAATTTATATATCTAAACTAGGGGGTTAGCAAACTATAGTCAGCAGGCTTGAACACAGCCCTGCCTATTAATTTATTTTGTATTATTCATGGATGCTTTCCACACTTAAAAGGACAAAGAGTAGTAGCTATAAAAGATCTACAAGCCTGAAATATTTACTATTTAACCCACTGAAAAAATCTGTTAACTCTTGATCTAAACCATGAACATCAATGGCTGCTACATGATAAAAAAAGAGACAATCAGACCACATATGCTTCCGCATAGAAATAAACACCACCATCAATGAAATATTCTTACAGAAAAATAGAACATAAATCTGAGAAAATCTCTAGATCTAGCACCAATCTAGGAAATAGAGGAGAGAGAACCATGTTAAATGATATGGACATTCATTGTATTATTTACTTTTGCATATATTTGAAACTTTATATTATAAATAATTTTTTTAAATGGGAGAAAATGTTAAACAAGCACATGGGGAGCTCTTTAAAATGATTAATCAAGTTAATCTAATCAGACAGAATAATCTAATTCGACTAGATTAAGCTATTTCAGCTTCTTGAGGGCAACAGGTTCTAAAGTCCATCCCTCTCCAAAACTTGGTGCAGTAATGATTGATAATATGATAGTAATTGATGAGCTGAGCTGAATCTTTCATATATATTGAAGCAAAAAAGTAAATTCAATCTGGAATAGAAAAATTTGGTGGGGTTATTAATTTAAATGAAGCAATGGATTTTCTTAATAATGGATTCAAAATGAGAAAATGCAAAGTACCAAGTGAAAACCTGGAGGAGAGGAAATAAGGGACCCTTATGCAGTCATCAGTTCTACTGGAGATTTTTCTTTCACTACTTGTCATAGGATTTGGTGAAATCTTCATGGTGTGTGCATGTGCCTGTGTGTGTTTGTGTGTGTGCGTGTGCGTGTATGTGTGCATGTGTGTGTGTATGTGTGTAACTTTTTGGTTTTTTTTGGAGAAGATTAAATGGAAAAACTGCCTTACACTTTCTCTCTTGGAATAAAGGGCACTGACAAAAAAGGATGAAGAATGTGGTTTCTTGTTAGGAAAAGGAAGAATTTGAGAGAAGCTTGACTATCATAAACTAATGTAGAGATAGAAATGTCCAGATTTGCAGATTGTTTCATTTTGGATGGGCCTTTTGAGGAGACCATGTGAAAAAGAAGGAATGGGGGGAGATTGTAAGCTTTTCCATGATAAGAGTACAATTTCTGGAACCTAACTGATGGGCTAGGGAAATCCTGTGTCTAGTTACTCACCCAGAGGTGGCTGTAGCATACCCCCATTCTTCTCACAGTTTCCAACAGGCTGGATTTCAGCTGAGTCAACCAGCCGCCAGAAGTCGTTCTTGTTGTCACTACCATCAAGGCGCAGGCGGAGGCGGGCACCTGTCAGTCCAACTACTGTGGCAATACATGTGGATGTGGTGTTCCTGGGGTCCTGTGCTTCCAATTTCATGCTGATCTTGAACTCGTTGCTTGGAGGTGTGAAGGACTGAGGAGAACAAGTCATGAGGATTAAGAAGACTAAAAGTAAGCCGCATTTTCAATAAGGATGTTAAGAGATGGAACCTGAAAATATATGCTTTGGACTCAAATTGGTTATAACTGGCCCAGGGACAACTTGTCTGAGTTATTCTCTAACACTTAGGAAAGGTTTCATACAAAGAAACACAAAGAAAGAAGGTGAAGAAGAAAATTACTTTCCTATTAAGCATCAAATATTAATTTATAGTAGTGAAAAAAGGACAAGAATGTTTCATATAGTCCAGTTATTTAAATATTTTCTCATTCTACCTTTTCCAACACCCTACCCCTTCTGGTATAACACTTTTTTTTCAAGACCACTAAATCACATTAAACTATATCCTTAATGTCTCTTCATGGAATATTCAGTATAGTGGTCTGTATATCTACCACACAGACTATTGGGAATTAATATTTTTTAAAAAATTGAAATTAAGTTATAAATCAACTCATAATTTACATACAACAAACTATATACTTTATAAGTCTTGACATTGTGTACATACCTACGACACCATATACACCCATGAAAGTATTACCACAATCAAAGTAATGCACAAGGCCATCACCGTCAGGATCTCATATGCTCCTTTGTAACACCTTTTCCTGGGTCTTTCCAGATTCCCATGCCTAGCAACCACTGATCTACTTTCTGTCACTATAGATTGATTTGCATCTTTTATTAGATGGAATCATACAGGAAATACACTTTTTGTCTAGCTTGTTTCACTCAGCATAGCTATTCTGACATTTACCCATATTGTTGAATATATCAATACAGTTGAGTATCCCTAATCGGAAAGTCTGAAATCCAAAATTCTACAAAATCTGAAACTTTTGGAGCACTGACATGATGATACAAACGGAAAATTCCACACCTGGCCTCATGTGATGGGTTGCAGTTAAAACACAGGTGCACTAAAAATACTGTATTAAATTACCTTTCGGACATGTGTATAAAGTACATATTAGATAAATGAACTTTGGGTTTAGATTTGGGTCATATCCCTAAGATATCTCATTATATAATATGCAAATATTCCAAAATCTGTTACTCAATCTGAAATTCATTTCTTTTTATTGGTAAGTGATATACCATGATGCTGGTCATTTAGTTTGTTGCCAGTTTTTATCAATTACAAATGAAGCTGCTCTATAAACATTTATATACAAATCTTTATATGAAAATGTACTGTTGTTGATTGGTATCTGTGGAGTATTAATTCTAGGATGCCCTCGAAATACCAAAATCTGCAGATGCTTAATTCCACAAAATGGACTTGATATAAAGTGGTGTAGTATTTGTATAAAACTTATGCATATCTTCCTGTATACTTTAAACTATCTCTGGATTACTTATAGTACCTAATAAAACATAAATTCTATGTAAATAATTATTGTACTGTATTGTATAGGAAATAATGATAAGGAAAAAAACTGTACGTGTTCAGCAGAGACACATTTTTTCCCCAAATATTTTTGATTTGGGGTTGGTTGAATCCACAGATATGCAACTCACAGATGGAGGGCCAACTGACTTTCTTTTCTTTTGCATAATAATAATCTAAGAGGAGAATGGCTGGATCATATGTTAGGTATATGTTTAACTCACACATGAGAAAATGAATACTTTTCAGGTATGCATTCAATGATTTTTAATATAGTCACAGAGTCATACAAACATTATACCTATCTAATTTTATAATAAGTTCATCAATGTCCAAAAGAAACCCTGTACTCATTTTAGGAGGTACTCTCTATTCGCCTCTCATTTTAGCCCCTAGAAACTATGAATATGATTTTTGTTACAGTAGATTTGTCTATTCTGGAATTTTATACAGATGGAATTACATAATATGTGAACAATATATGAATGGTTTCTTTCACTTAGCAAGGTTCATTCATGTTATAGGATATAACAGTACTGCATTCCTTTTCACTGCTGAATAATATTCCATTGTATGGATATACTACGCTACTAATTTATCAGCTGATGAACATTTGGATTGTTCTCCTTTTTGGCTATTATAATAATGTGGCAAACACTTATGATACATTTTGAGTAGACCTGTATTTTCCATTCTCTTAGGTATATACTCATGAGTGGGATTGCTGGGTAATGTGGTAACTCTACATTTAACATTTTGAGTAAACTCTTAACTGTTTTCTAAGGTGGCTATAGGATTTTATAATTTCTGTACCAATTAACAAGCATTCCAATATCTTTAGATCTTTACCAACCTTGTTATTGTCTGTTTTAAAATTTTTTGTCATCTAGTGGATGTGAAGTGGTATCACTACAATTCTGATTTACATTTCTCTGTAGAGATAATGATATTGAATTTCTGTCATGTGCTTATTGGTCATTTTATATGGAGAAATATATATTCAAACTCCTTGCCCATTTAAAAATTGTGTTGTATTTTTATTGATGAGTTTTTTAAAAAGATTTTTAAAATATTTGTGATACAAGTCACTTATGAGATATAGGATTTGTAAATATTTTCTCCTATTTTGTGTTACCTTTTCATTTTCCCAATGGTGTCCTTGGAATAACAGTAGCTTTAACTTTGAAGTTCCATGTACCTATTTTCTCTTTTGTTATTTGTGTTTTGGGTGCCATATCTAAGGAACTATAACCTAAGCCAAGGTCATGAAGATTTACTCTGATGTGTTCTCAGAGTTTTTTACTTTTAGATTTTACATTTAGGTTTATGATCCATTTGGAGTTCATTTTTTTTTAAATATGGTACAGAAGGGCAAAGGGGATTTCCAGCTGTTCTTGTGCTGGTTTTTGAAAATTTGAAAGAACTATGTTGGCACCCTTATTGAAAATCAATTGACAATAAATTGATGGGTCCATTTCTTTTTTTTTTTCCCATTCCCCTCATAACCTCTTATATGTAATTTTGTATAACAATGAGGGTCTCCTTCCATTTCCATGCAATTTCCCTTTTCTCTACCTTTCCCTCCCACCTCATGTCTCTGTTTAATGTTGATCTTTTCCTCCTGCTCTGACTCCCTGCTCTGTTCTTAGTTGCTCTCATTATATCAAAGAAGACATTTAGCATTTGTTTTTTAGGGATTGGCTAGCTTCACTTCGCATAATCTGCTCTAGAACCATCCATTTCCCTGCAAATTCCATGATTTTGTCATTTTTTAGTGCTGCGTAATACTCCATTGTGTATAAATGCCATATTTTTTTTATCCATTCATCTATTGAAGGGCATCTGGGTTGGTTCCACAGTCTAGCTATTGTGAATTGTGCTGCTATGAACATCGATGTGGCAGTATCCCTGTAGTATGCTCTTTTAAGGTCTTCAGGGAATAGTCCGAGAAGGGCAATAGCTGGGTCAAATGGTGGTTCCATTCCCAGCTTTCCCAGGAATCTCCATACTGCTTTCCAAATTGGCTGCACCAATTTGCAGTCCCACCAGCAATGTACAAGAGTACCCTTTTCCCCACATCCTCGCCAGCACTTGTTGTTGTTTGACTTCATAATGGCTGCCAATCTTACTGGAGTGAGATGGTATCTTAGGGTGGTTTTGATTTGCATTTCTCTGACTGCTAGAGATGGTGAGCATTTTTTCATGTACTTGTTGATTGATTGTATGTTCTCCTCTGAGAAGTGTCTGTTCAGGTCCTTGGCCCATTTGTTGATTGGGTTATTTGTTATCTTATTGTTTAATTTTTTGAGTTCTTTGTATACTCTGGATATTAGGGCTCTATCTGAAGTGTGAGGAGTAAAAATTTGTTCCCATGATGTAGGCTCCCTATTTACCTCTCTTATTGTTTCTCTTGCTGAGAAAAAACTTTTTAGTTTAAGTAAGTCCCATTTGTTGATTCTTGTTATTAACTCTTGTGCTATGGGTGTCCTATTAAGGAATTTGGAGCCCAACCCCACAATATGTAGATCGGAGCCAACTTTTTCTTCTATCAGACGCAGAGTCTCTGATTTGATATCAAGCTCCTTGATCCATTTTGAGTTTACTTTTGTGCATGGCGAGAGGAGGGGATTCAGTTTCATTTTGTTGCATATGGATTTCCAGTTTTCCCAGCACCATTTGTTGAAGATGCTATCCTTCCTCCATTGCATGCTTTTAGCCCCTTTATCAAATATAAGATAGTTGTAACTTTGTGGATTAGTCTCTGTGTCCTCTATTCTGTACCATTGGTCCACCCGCCTGTTTTGGTACCAGGACCATGCTGTTTTTGTTACTATTGCTCTGTAATATAGTTTGAAATCTGGTATCGCTATACCGCCTGATTCACACTTCCTGCTTAGAATTCCTTTTGCTATTCTGGGTCTTTTATTTTTCCATATGAATTTCATGATTGCTTTATCTATTTCTACAAGAAATGCCGATGGGATTTTGATTGGCATTGCATTAAACCTATAGAGAACTTTTGGTAATATCGCCATTTTGATGATGTTAGATCTGCCTATCCATGAACAGGGTATATTTTTCCATCTTCTAAGATCTTCTTCTATTTCTCTCTTCAGGGTTCTGTAGTTTTCATTGTATAAATCTTTCACCTCTTTTGTTAGGTTGATTCCCAAGTATTTTATTTTTTTTGAGGATATTGTGAATGGGGTGTTTTTCCTCATTTCCGTTTCAGAAGTTTTGTCGCTGATATACAGAAATGCCTTTGATTTATGCGTGTTGATTTTATATCCTGCCACTTTGCTGAATTCATTTATTAGTTCTAGTAGTTTTTTTGTAGACCCTTTTGGGTCTTCTAGGTATAGAATCATGTTGTCTGCAAATAGTGATGATTTAAGTTCTTCTTTTCCTATTTTTATGCCTTTAATTTCTTTCATCTGTCTAATTGCTCTGGCCAGTGTTTCGAGAACTATATTGAATAGAAGTGGTGATAGAGGGCATCGCTGTCTTGTTCCAGATTTTAGAGGGAATGCCTTCAATTTTTCTCCATTCAGAATGATGCTGGCTTGAGGCTTAGCATAAA